GCTGGATGAATGCACTATAAGGTGGGTAGAAAGCTGGCTAGATTGTCGGGCTCAACGGGTAGTGATCAATGGCTCCATGTCTAGTTGGCAGCCGGTATCAAGTGGAGTGCCCCAAGGGTCGGTCCTGGGGCCGGTTTTGTTCAATATCTTCATAAATGATCTGGAGGATGGTGTGGATTGCACTCTCAGCAAATTTGCGGATGATACTAAACTGGGAGGAGTGGTAGGTACGCTGGAGGGGAGGGATAGGATACAGAAGGACCTAGACAAATTGGAGGATTGGGCCAAAAGAAATCTGATGAGGTTCAATAAGGATAAGTGCAGGGTCCTGCACTTAGGACGGAAGAACCCAATGCATAGCTACAGACTAGGGACCGAATGGCTAGGCAGCAGTTCTGCGGAAAAGGACCTAGGGGTGACAGTGGACGAGAAGCTGGATATGAGTCAGCAGTGTGCCCTTGTTGCCAAGAAGGCCAATGGCATTTTGGGATGTATAAGTAGGGGCATAGCGAGCAGATCGAGGGACGTGATCGTTCCCCTCTATTCGACATTGGTGAGGCCTCATCTGGAGTACTGTGTCCAGTTTTGGGCCCCACACTTCAAGAAGGATGTGGATAAATTGGAGAGAGTCCAGCAAAGGGCAACAAAAATGATTAGGGGTCTGGAACACATGAGTTATGAGGAGAGGCTGAGGGAGCTGGGATTGTTTAGCCTGCAGAAGAGAAGAATGAGGGGGGATTGGATAGCTGCTTTCAACTACCTGAAAGGGGGTTCCAAAGAGGATGGCTCTAGACTGTTCTCAATGGTAGCAGATGACAGAACGAGGAGTAATGGTCTCAAGTTGCAGTGGGGGAGGTTTAGATTGGATATTAGGAAAAACTTTTTCACTAAGAGGGTGGTGAAACACTGGAATGCGTTACCTAGGGAGGTGGTAGAATCTCCTTCCTTAGAGGTTTTTAAGGTCAGGCTTGACAAAGCCCTGGCTGGGATGATTTAACTGGGAATTGGTCCTGCTTCGAGCAGGGGTTGGACTAGATGACCTTCTGGGGTCCCTTCCAACCCTGATATTCTATGATTCTAATTTGTTACTGCTTTAAAATCAGTCCAAACACAAATTCTAGCTAATGTATTTTTACCAATTGCCCGTTAGGCCATTCCTTTTTGCTATTTAAAAAGAATGGCTAGTAAAATATAATTAAATCATACATCAGTACATTTAATACATGCTACATTATTATTTATTTTAAATTATATAAAATACAAACAAAATCCTACTACTACAAGAGTGACAACACACAGCTATGCTCCGAAATAACATTTCAGTGAAAACAGATATAGCTATTTTGGTTCCAATTTGTGCGTAGACAATTCCTTAGTTTATTGATTTCTGAAATAATACTGGCTAATTCTTATGCATTGCTTCCATCTAGCGATCAGGTGAAAAAATATACAGGTCATATAACCTCTAGGATTTTAACAAATCTTGTACTTTCAAGGACCAAGCAATAGCAAAAAGAAACAAACACCTTATTTAGGAAATGGAATATTTGGAGTTAAAAGCCAGAATATAGACTAAAACCATGAAAAATGAAGATACTTAACCTCATCTCAGTGAGGCAGAGTGCTAGGTAGGAAACCCTGAATCAACAGTGGTCACAGGAGCTCCAAGCAGGCACAGCAAATTGGAGCTAATGAGGCAGACCTGTGCCTAATTTGTGCTTGGGGAAGGACAGAAAGGCTAATTGATCCATTAGCCCAAGCCTTCAAATAGGCACAGGAAGGAAGTAAAAACAGGGGAAGCAGGCAGTAAAAGGAAGTGAGAGCTTACACTTCCCCTGCTTATATAGGTGCTAGGTATGCTGTGAAAGTGGTGGGACTCAATTATAAATAAACTGCACAGGGTGTTGAACCAGCACAAAGGTCTCTGCATGGTTTTGTAGACTGAGACAAAAGCAGGATCGAGGAAGCCTGTTATATGGGGGGGCTTATCTGGGATCTGAGCCAGCATGAGGGTGTGGTGGCGCGGGCAATGGAGAAGACCTTTCAGTGGCTGGTAAAACAACAAGAGTCAATGCAGAAGGCCCTATAAAGCTTTCAACAATCTCACCACATAGAGAGACAGGCTTTGCTTACCTGGCAGAAAAGCCTCCAGGACTTCATAAGTAGGGCTGCCAATTTTCTACTCACACAAAACTGAACACGCTTGCCCTACCTCACTCATCCTTTAAGGCCTTGCTCCTGCCCTGCCCCTTTTCCAAGGTCCTTTCCCCCACACACACACTCACTCCATCCCCCCACCCTCACTTGCTCATTTTCACTTGGCTGGCTCAGGGGGTTGGGGTGCAGGAGGGGGTATTGGCTCTGGGCTGGGGGTGTGGGTTCTGGGGTGGGGCCAGAAATGAGGGGTTCATGGTGTGGGAGTGGGCTCTCAGCTGGGGCAGAGGTTTGGGGTGTGGGGGAATAAGGGCTCTGGGCTGGGGATGAGGGATTTGGGGTACAGGAGGGTGCTACCAGTTGGGATCAAAGGGTTTGGGGGTTAGGAGGGGGATCAGGGCCCCCGCAGCTCCCATTGGCTGCAGTTCCCGGCCAATGGGAGTTGCAGAGATGGCGCTTGGGACGGGGGCAGCGTGCAGTGTTCAGAGCCTCCTGGCTGCCCCTATGCATAGGAGCTGGAGAGAGCACATGTCGCTGCTTCTGGGAGCTGCACGGAGCCATGTCAGGCAGGGAGCCTGCCTTAGCCCCACTGAGCCATTGACCAGACTTTTAACAGCCCAGGCAGCAGTGCTGACTGGAGCTACCATGGTCCCTTTTTGATAGGGCACCTAGCAACCCTATTCATAAGGGAACAAGCCAGCATCCAGCAGCAGCTCCTACAGAAGGTGGTAAGTCCCGTGGTGGGGGATGGTGCTTGAACACAGAGCCTAGGACCATGTAAAATGAGCTCTGCAGATGACCCAGATGCATTCGTGGGCACTTTTGAAAGGGTAACCATGGGTGCTGGATAGGATAGGGCAACCTGGGCCCTGCAGTTGTCTCCCTATCTGTCAGGAGAATCCCAAGCAGCCTATATGGGCCTGAGTGAGGAGCAGGCCAGAAAATATGAGACGGTAAGGGCAGCCATCCTGGATTGGGTTGGGCTGTCTACTGAGAAGTACTGTCAAAAGTTCAGATCAGCAAGGTGGATAGGAGGTTTACAGCCCTGGGCATTTGCCCAAAAGGTTGATGGACTGGGACACCCACTGGCTGAGACCAGATATGCAAATAGTGGCAGAAATAATGGATGCTCTGATATTAGAACAGTTCCTTCAGGGCCTCCCCAAGAACATATGGGTCAGGCAACATCAACTGGGCATGTTGGATGCTGATGTAAAACTGACAGGTTAGTATGCAGAAGCAGACTTTCCCGGGAAAAAGGGGTGACCATATAAGGGTCCATAGGTGGGGAGGAAGACCGGAGAACCCACAGCAGAAAGGGGCATGGACAGGAAGAAGGAAGAACCCCAAGCAGTTCTGGCTGGGGCTCAACCCATTATTTACTACCAATGTGGACTACCCAGACACAAGAAAGGGGACTGCCCCACCTGGATTGTGGCTTTGCCGAGTTTTCTGGCTGGGCCAGGGCTGGAGGGAAGGAAAAGGGGGCAAAAACTGTCCACCATTTCTGTGAGGGTGGGGAGGAAACTCCACAGAGGCCTTATGGATATGGCCTCGGCTTGCTCGCTTGTCCAGAGGGAGCTGGTGAAGCCTCACTCGATGATTCCAGAAGCAACAATGGCCTTACGGTGTGTCCCTGGGGATAAGAGACATTCCCCCAAAGCCCAGGTGCCCGAGAAGGTCCGGGAAAGGTTTCGGTGGAAACAGGTTGGGGTAATTGAGGGGATGCTTTATCCAATTGTCTTCGGCACGGACTGGAGTCCCTTCCCCATTGGGAAGTGAGGCGGTGGGAGGAATCCCCTGTTAAGTAAAGGAAAACCAGGGGAAAAGAGAGGAGGAACTCCAAAAAAGAAGCTGGAGAGACCCCTGGACAACAAAGCCTGAGTCAGGAGGACAAGAGCTGTCCCCAGGGAAGGAAGGAAGGAAGGAGGCACAGGGGAGACAGGCAGCCCAAACTCCTTGGCAGAGGTCAGGGGGCCAAGGGAGCTCCCTGCAACACAACCCCCAGGAGAAGAAACCCAGGCACAGTTTGGCAACTTGAGGAGCCCTGGATGATCCAGGGAATGAAGGGAGTAACCCTCAAATACCCTGCCAGATGCAATGAGAGAGAAGGAGAGGAGTAACTCCCCGGGATAGGCTGCTACAGAGCTATGGGGATGCCTGCCCCCCACACTGTATGAGTTTGGGGGGGATGAGCAAACCCCACAAGGGAAACCCAGGTGACGGCCCTGGAGATTGAGAGAGGTTCCCACAGGCTGGCCCCTCCGGTAAGGGTGGGAAAGCCCAGGGCAAGAAGAACCTTGCAGTTAAATAGGGGTGGAGGTGTGTGACAGAGTGCTAGGTAGGAAACCCTGGGTCAACACTCTATTCACAGGTTTCAGAGTAGCCGCCGTGTTAGTCTGTATTCGCAAAAAGAAAAGGAGGACTTGTGGCACCTTAGAGACTAACCAATTTATCTGAGCATAAGCTTTCGTGAGCTACAGCTCACTTCATCGGGTGCATGAATGCTCTATTCACAGCAGCTCTAAGCGGGTATAGCAGATTGGAGCTGACGAGGCAGACCAGTGCCTAATTTGTGAGTGGGGGCAGTGCAGAAAGGCCAATTAAGCCATTAGCCTGAGCCCACAAATAGGCACCGTCGGGAAGTAAAAAAGGGGGAAGCAGGCAGTGAGAGAACAAGATCTCCCCCTCTCCCAGGTGCTAGGTATGCCGTAACGGTGGTGGGACTCTGGTATAAATCAGCTGCACAGGCCGTTGAACCAGCAAACGGGTCTCTGTGTGGTTTTGTAGACTGAGACAGAAGTAGGGCTGAGGAAGCCTGTTACACTTTCATATATTTACATCACTTCTGTTTAAAGGGTTTAATGCAATGGAAATGCCGCAAACATAATACAAAAGAAAAGTTGATACCATCCCTGAGTACGAACACAGTTTTCAAATGATTTAGACTCCTACGTGCTTAAATCCCTTTTGAAAATGAATGTTAGGCTCTTAAATGGGTTTCGGCACTGCAATTCTAAGCACAGCAATACCTCAATACCTCTGAAAGTCTGGTCCTTAGTAATTTTAGAAAATGAGACTTAGCAACCTCAGAAAATGGTTGGGAGGGAGGCAAGGGCGGGATATAATGGCAGTTCCCCCACTCCAGCACTTGGAAGTTGAATCCCCTTCTGAGTAGTCAGGGGAAAGGCTGGTATGGTTGTGTACTTAGTTGTGGTTAAAATCTGAAACTGAAATAGCTACAAAAAAGGGAAGGTGGCTTAAAGCGGAAATTAGAGAGCAAGTAGAGCAGCGTTGTTTCAGTCATCATCCTGAAGCCAGTCTCCTAACTTCTTGGTTACCCAAACTGGCAATATTGCTAATACCCACTTTGGGTACTCCAGCATTATGGCTGAAAAGGGTGGCAAAGTAAATTTGTAGTTGCAATTATAGTTTAAAGGCACAGGTGGTGCATGAACTTTTGTACATAGAAATCCAACAGATGCGTGTTTGCAGCAACACCGTAGGTTGTAAGAGCAACGGCTGCTTACAAGCGACGTTTCCCCTGGGAACACTTTCCCTACCATGAATTGTCCACTCGGTAACAGCAACAGAGCTGCCACATAAGAGCAACATTTGCGATGTCACAGCCAGGGCTAGAGATTTGGGAGACGTGGGGGTGTTGCTTCCCCCCTCCTCACCCTCCAAACAGCATCTTTTCACTCCCCTCCTGATCCTGGCCCTTCAGCGCAGTTCCAGGGCCCTGCCTGACAGAGCCTGCATGGAGAGCATGTTTGGAGGGAGGGTCTGGAAGACAGGGGCAAGTTGGGGTCCCGGGAACAGCAGAGGCACAATTGGAGGTTTCCTCCTCCCTTCCTCAGCATCGGGCTGGCAGGCAATGGGGGGGAAGGGTTGGTATTTTGCAGTGAGGGATCAGGGATCCCCCTCCTTAGGGCACTGATCTACCCCCTTTTCCCCCTCCCATCTCTGCTGTCTGTGCTAGGAGCCACCCGGCCCTCCATTGCAGGGTGCATATGGTACCCTCCCCAGCCATCAATCCCTCCTCATGGTGGAGCATAAAGCTACCAGTGGAAGCACCCTCAGCCTGCCCTGGCAGCCAGGCTCTCTCAGATGTTTTGCTGACTGGGGGTTTCCCTGACCCATTTCCCCCAAACTTGGGGTTCCCTGCACTCACCCCAACTCCCCATCCACAACCTGGCTGCCCCACCCCTTCCGAAACACCCTTAACTCTTCATACGCCTTTGGTCAGACGACACTCCCCTTAACAACAACAGCTGCTTAGGACATAGCAAAAGGCCACTGATTTGTTGCTAGGAAGGAGCATCTACTCTACTGTAACCGGTTTTGTGTAAAGGACATTTTTTCAGTAAGATTTTGGCAGCTGCCACCTAGTGGACATTTATGTATTTTTCACTTAAACTCCCTCAAACACAATTTTGCCTATCAGACACTAAACCATATTCAAAACTCCTGTAGAATGCAGTGTCAACACTTGTTTGTGTCCTCTTTTTGATTTTTTTTCAGTAAAATGTGGGTTTTTTTGGCTGGTTTTTCATATGTTTGGTAGGAACAACAGATTCTCATGCCTTGTTCCCATTCCCCACTCATCCCACAAGCACCACACCAGTGTTTGATTATATAATATTTTGCCACTAATCTGTGTTCATTAAAACTTGAAATTGTGTCTCCCATCATTTTATTCTTCCCCAGAAAACTTTCTTCACTCATTTTTCCCTTTCTTATCTGTCTGTCCCTTTTCCTCTGTCTGTGTTTCTTGCAGATCACTTTCATTCACATTGCCCCTCCAAATCGCTTCTCTTCCATCTCACTCACTCTTGATTGACCTCACTTTTCTCTGAGCCCTCATCTCATTTTATATTTGTTCCTTTGCTTACTTTCTCTTGTTCAATCTAATCCCTGATCCTGATCCTCCATTGGCTTGACTCTTGAATTGGCTTTTACACCTGTGCTAAGTGGGTGTGAAATGTTACCAGATCAGAATTCTTCACTCACTCATAGTGACTGGTGACTGGCTGACTACACAATGTGCAAAGTAGTGGAAAATAGGAAACACCCCCCCCCCAACCCTTTCTATCCTTTTAAGTGTCTTCCTGCTTGCACCCAGTCCCATGTTCTTTTATTTTTCCCCTGACGTCCCTACCCTTTGTCTTGTTCTTTGCCCTAGGGCCTCCCATGTGCTCCCAGGAAACCCATCCTCACAGCCATTCCCATCCCATTAATTTTTTGCCTCCCAAGACCCCACCAATCAGTTGATCATTTGACATCGCCCTCTCCTCATTCCTTTATTCAATTGATCCTCTAAGCCAGACCTTCTATCAGCCAGTGTATCCCCTGCCTCCTCCTGCATACTGATTCTGTGCCTCCTTCCTGTAGGGAGTATCTGCCATTGTTGTGTGAGGGTGTGGCTGCAGAGACCAAGGCCATCCTCCAATTTGGAAGGAGGGCTGTGGGCTGCAGAGGGCCGAGCAAACTGCCATCAGCTCACATCAGGATCTTGCTGCTGTGGCATGTGAATTAACTTCACTGGTAAGTACAAGCTCCCCGGGCCTTTAAGAACAGACCTCACCCTCGATACTGCTCCTCTGCAACTGCAGCAAATTGATACAGCATGTGGTAGAGAATGTGGAAGCCTAAGGGATGGATCTGTTAGAAGGGGAGTGTCATAAATATAAAGGGAAGGGTAAACCCCTTTGAAATCCCTCCTGGCCAGGGGAAAGCTCCTCTCACCTGTAAAGGGTTAAGAAACTAAAGGTAACCTTGCTGGCACCTGACTAAAATGACCAATGAGGAGACAAGATACTTTCAAAAGCTGGGAGGATGGAGAGAAACAAAGGGTCTGTGTGTCTGTCTATATGCTGGTTTTTGCCGGGGATAGACCAGGAATGGAGTCTTAGAACTTTTAGTAAGTAATCTAGCTAGGTATGTGTTAGATTATGATTTCTTTAAATGGCTGAGAAAAGAATTGTGCTGAATAGAATAACTATTTCTGTCTGTGTATCTTTTTTGTAACTTAAGGTTTTTGCCTAGAGGGGTTCTCTATGTTTTTGAATCTAATTACCCTGTAAGATATCTACCATCCTGATTTTACAGGGGGGATTTCTTTATTTCTATTTACTTCTATTTTTATTAAAAGTCATCTTGTAAGAAAACTGAATGCTTTTTCATTGTTCTCAGATCCACGGGTTTGGGTCTGTGGTCACCTATGCAATTGGTGAGGCTTTTTACCAAACCTTGTCCAGGAAGTGGGGTGCAAGGTTTTGGGAAGTATTTTGGGGGGAAAGATGTGTCCAAACAGCTCTTCCCCAGTAACCAGTATTAGTTTGGTGGTGGTAGTGGCCAATCCAAGGACAACGGGTCGAATATTTTGTACCTTGGGGAAGTTTTGACCTAAGCTGGTAAAGATAAGCTTAGGAGGTTTTTCATGCAGGTCCCCACATCTGTACCCTAGAGTTCAGAGTGGGGGAGGAACCGTGACATGGTGGCAGCAGTATGTTGAGTACATTGGCTCAATGAAGGGCTTTAATGTGTAAAACCTAGGGGGAAGATAACGAGGGAGACCTTGACGGCAGGGTCAGGTGCATGCTGCAGCATGACTTCTTCCTTCCGCTGTCCACTCAGCTTCATAAGCAGAGACTGGGTAGTTCTTATCCTTGGAAAATGTTTTTAGAACCAGGAGCAAACACAGCTGTTGTTGGATTTCAGGTTAGATCATGGGAGAGAAATAGCAGGTAAGCCTTGTAAGTCATATGTATAAGGTTCTGTAGCACCCTCTTGTGTTTGCAATGCAGTATTGCAAAGAAAGTTCTATTGCAGCTTCCCATGGAAAAGTGAGGAATGGTGAGATGTTTGGTTTGCCTTACTCTGGCTTGTAATTTTTGGTTTGTTTAGTGATGTGGCTCCTTGCTTGCTCTGGACCTGAGGAAGCAAGATGGAGAAATACTTTAATAGAGGAAAAAAATAAGCACATGAAAATAAGTGTGAGAAGGGACACACCTTGGAGGAAGTTTAATGGCTAAAATCTACAAGGGGTGGAGCCCAGGAACAATTAAGCAGCTCTCCAGTATTACAGTGAGAAAGTAAAGCCACTACAGGAAAGACTGAGGTAGGGCCTTAGACCTGGTTAGAACATAGTACTTGTTAGACTTCAGTGTGACAATATCAGCTAGATGCTTTCTTGTCCTTGAAGGTAAATTGTATGAAGAGATGACTACTTCATATCATTGTTAATATGAGAACTTTATAAGTTAAACTGATATTGTCATGGGATCTTAAATAAAAGTCCTTTATTTTTTATATCTAAAGTAGCCTCCAGATTCTTGCTGCCCATTCCTCTTTACTGTTTTCTTAAGCATAGAACTCATTTTCTGTGCTACAACTGCAGTGTGATAGTGTTCCCTGACGCATATAGTCTTCCTCCCTGGAAACAGATATTGTGCCGCTTCCTCACAATCAGAGAGTGTCTTTCTCCTTGCTGTTATCAGCTGACTTGATTTTACTGGGGGATTTCAATTTGAGTGACGTATGCTGGAGGTCTCATGCTGCCAGTACTAAAACATCCTTGGAATTTCTAAACGTCATAGATGACTATTTCTTAACTCAGAAAGCATTGCAGCCAACATGAGGAAATTCTGTATTAGACCTTGTCCTAACAGATAAGGAGGAACTGATCACATAACTAAAAGTTAATGGTAGTTTATCTATAAGTAATCAGGACTTGATCACATTTATAATGTTCAAGCAGAATAAAGTGTCGTCCTATAATTTTATATATATATATTATGCTTTAATAGGGCTAATTTCAGAAAACTGAACATAATTATGAGCCAAATCATCTGGGAGGAAAAAATTTATCAAAAAATATGAATGATCATTGGGAGTAATTTAAGGACACCTTATTAGATGACCAAGAAGCCACAATTGAGGAAGAAGGCTGTGATGAGTTTTGTTTTGTTTTTTTAATCTCATTTAGAGAGGAAGTGAAGGCAGCTATAAAAAAATAAAAAGTAATATACAACAAATGGAAGAAAGAGGAAGTTGATGGCGATTGTAGAAAATTCATAAGCGAAGCTTAGGGACCCAAGGATAAATCTATGGCCAGTAGAATTAAAGACAATAAGAAGGAGTTGTTAAAATATACAAGGAACAAAAAGAATCCTGGCAGTGGTATTGATTCATATCTAGATGGAAACAGTAGAATTATCCATAATAATGCAGAAAAGGCAGAAGTGTTAATAAATATTTCTATTCCGTATTTGGGGGAAAACAGATGATATAGTCTCATCATATAGTGATAACACACACTCTCTTCCACTAGTATTTCTGGTGGATGTTAAACAGAAGGTAGACATTTTAAAATCAGTAGGTCCAGATAACTTACATCCAAGAGTTTTAAAAAAAAGAGCTTGCTGGACCATTAATGTTGATTTTCAGTAAGTTTTGGAGCACTTCGGAAGTTCCAGAAGACTAGAAGAAAGCTAATGTTGTGCCAATTCTTAAAAAGGGTAAATGGGATGACCCAGGTAATTATAGGCCTGTCAGCCTGGACATCAGTCTCAGGCAAGATATGGAGTGGCTAATACAGGACTCAATTAATAAAGAACTAAAGGAAGGTAATGTAATTAATGCAAATCAACATGGGCTTATGGAAAATACATCTTGTCAAGCTAATTTAATTTTTTTTATGAGATTACAAGTTTTGTTGATAATGGTAATAGCATTGACATTATATATTTAAACTTCTGTAAGGTGCTTAACTTAGGACCACACAACATCTTGATTCAAAAACTAGAACAACATAAAACTCATGGGGCACACATTAAATAGATTAAAAACTGCCTAACTGATAGGTCTCAAAATGTAACTGTAAACAGGGAATTGTCATGGAACAGTTCTGTTTCCAGTGGGGACCCACCAGGGGTAGGTTTTTGTCCCCTTGCTATTTAACATTTTTATCAATGACCTGGAAGAAAACATAAAATCATCATTGATAAAATTTGCAGATGACACAAAAATTGGGGGAGTAGTAAATAACAAAGAGGACAGGTAACCAATTCAGAATGATCTAGATTGCTTGGTAAACTGGGTGCAAGCAAACAAACAATATGTGTTTTAATATGACTACATGTAAATGTATACATCTAGGAACAAAAAATGTAGCCATACTTACAGGATGGTGGACTCTATCCTGGGAAGCAGTGACTCTGAGAAAGTCTTTTTTGAGATGGCGTGACCAGATCTGTACACAGTATCCAAGATGTGGGCATACCATGGATTTATATAGAGGCAATATGATATTTTCTGTTGTATTATCTATCCCTTTCCTAATGATTCCAACATTCTGTTAGGTTTTTTGAATGCCACTGCACATTGAGTGAATGTTTTCAGAGAACTATCCCCAATGACTTCAAGATCTCTTTCTTGAGTGGTAAATGCTAATTTAGACCACATCATTTTATATGTATAGCTGGGATTATGTTTTCCAGTGTGTGTTACTTTGTATTTATCAACACTGAATTTCATCTGCCATTTTGTTGCCCAGTCACCCAGTTTTGTGAGATCCTTTTGTAATTCTTCATAGTCAGTTTTAGACTTAACTATCTCGACTAGTTTTGTATCGTCTGCAAATGTTGCCACCTTACTTTTCACCCCCTTTCCCAGATCATTTATGAATATGAATAGGACTGGGCCCAGTACAGACCCCTGGGGGACACCACTATTTACCTCTCTCCATTCTTAAGTATTACTCCTGTCCCATTTGCACCATCCATTGCAGGACAGACAGTTTTTCTTAGAGTTATCCAGAGTCCATAGTTGTAAAAAGGGGATTTTAAAAAGAGCCATTATAAGACCTAGGGTGATGGTAATGGAGGAACTCGGAGATGCTCTTTGGAGACATCAGATGTGGATTTGTTTCAATAGCTGAAGGCATTCCAGAATTCTCCAAAAGAACCATGAATGATTGTAGGAGTGACTACCATCCCCTGAGGATGTGGAGGTGAAGGTAAGTTAAGAAGAAAGGTGGTGACTGTTAAATAATCAGGAGACAGAAAACATGTCACCTGTCACCAATCTTGAGTATAGTGTATATCTCCTGTGAGTGCCTTCAATTCTCACTGAAGTCCTTTGATTCATCAGAGCACTTAGGCACATGATTAATTTAAGATATGGGACTTACAAGCAAGCTTAAGTGCTTTTCTGAATACGTGTGGATTTAAGCACATGTTTAAAGTCAAGTACAAATGGCCTTGTTGAATCATGGCTTGGGAGCTGAGGAATGGTTTGGAAATTCAGTCCCAGGCTTTGCCATTTCATGAATTTTTTACTGAGATGAAAATAATGCAGTTTACTCAAAGATTGCTAAATATGAAACAGAGTAAGGATTTACAGTGGACCTTGTTTTTGCCAGATCAGTTGTGTGAAATAAGAGTATAAAAGGCAGTGATAACTATTTACATGGCATTTTGATACAATGAATTTAGCTCTTCTTCTTTTGAAGCTAGTTTTAATGTTTGGCTTTGCAAACACTTAACATGTTCTTCTCGCAAGAATGAATAAATAAAGCTTTTTTATATATATTACCATAGTCTAATCCTGCACATTAGGGCTAATTTCTAATACAGTAACTCCTCACTTAATGTGATCCTGGTTAACATTGTTTCGTTGTTATGTTGCTGATCAATTAGGGAACATGCTCGTTAAAAGTTGTGCAGTGCTCCCTTAGAACGCTGTTTGGCAGCCACCTGCTTTGTCCACTGCTTGCAGGAAGAGCAGCCCATTGCAGCTAGCTGGTGGGGGCTTGGAACCAAGGTGGACCAGCAGCCCTCCTCTCAGCTCCATGCTCCCCTAAGTTACCTGTGCAGCAGCCTCTCAGCAGGCTATCAACTGCCAGGCAGCTCAGCTGCTCCTCCCCCCACTGCCGTGTGCTGCTCCAGCCCTCTGCCTTAGAGCTGCTCCCAGGAGCCTCCTGCTAACTGTGTGTGTGTGGTGGGGGGGAAGAGCGAGGTACTAATGTCAGGGTGTCCCCCTCCCCCAGGGTGTCCCTCCTGCCCCCTGTTTCTGTACCTCATCTCCACAGAGCGGGGGGACACACTACAGGGCTCAGGACTGAGGGAGTTTGCTGGCTGCTGTCTCAACTTGCTGATCTACTTTAAAAGGCAGTGTATTTAGAGTAGGGTCAGCGTACTTAAAGGGGCAATGAGCGACTCTCTCGCACGCACGCACGGTGTGTCTGTCTCTCAGTCTCTCTCTGCAATGCTGTGTCTCCTCCCTCCATTCGTGTTGCCTTGTAGAGTGTGAGGCTACATTAACAATAACGTGTTAACCCTTGAAGGCTCAGCCAAGTGCTAGTTCATCATTAGCAGTAAGGCATTCCCTGGGAAACATCCCACCCTCTGACTCCACCACCTCAACCAAGCTTCACAATCATCATTGCTGTGTACAGTATTAAATTATTTGTTTAAAATTTATACTGTGTGTGTGGTGAAAAAAATTTCCCTGGAACTAACCCCTCCAATTTCCATTAATTCTTATGGGGAAACTGGATTCATTTAACATCGTTTCACTTAATAGCATTTTTCAGGATCATAACTACAATGTTAAGTGAGGAGTTACTGTATATAGAAAAGTGTAAAACCTTATGTCTTCTGATATACAAATAAGATATTCAGCATGTTCTGCTACTGAAACATACAGCTACTAATGATTAGCTTTAGTGCATTTTGGTTGGTGTAAGCTATCATGAGGTAAAAAAGAGATTTTATAGGCATTTATAGTTATGAGCATTGTTTCAAGTCAGAAGAAATACTAGCCTTCTGCTAATAATCAGCAAAGGGTGGGTACATCACTCTTTCCCAAGGCACTTCTTAATAAAGTGTCCCACTAATTTCAGCGGTCTCTGCTGATAGTCCACAAGTACATCATGCGAGCTGCTAATCTGATCCCCTTCAAGTCGATTCAGAAGTGTGACACACACCACAGCAGCTAGAGATAAAAGAAATAGTGTTTGTTAGAAATGACATTTAGGTAACTTTCACCGTGAGAGAGCTTGAGAGCATCTTCTATTTGTACACCCGCGTTTGAGGTATCAAAACGGATAAGAGGAGATAAAGCCAAGAAAACTAATAGTTTCAGTGATGGGTTTGAGCAGTTGACAATGGAAATCACACTTTATAATAAATAACTGGATTAAGTACCTATCTCACTTTAGATGTTGTTTAAAAATTACTAATAGTTTGAAGCAATCTATCAAGCCATTAGTAAAGTCAATGGAGCTGCTCCAACATATGGTCACATTCAGATCATTCATAATCATTGCATCATTAGAACCTTTTTCTGAATGGGATTTTTTTTTTTCAAGAAGTGTGTCAAGAAGTCAGATTGGTAAAATTGCATCAGAGAATAAGGGTATGTCTACACAGCAAAAGCTGTGCGTGGACTAACAGACCTGAGCTAGCTTGAATCCAACTACTGTGGGTAACAATAGTGATGAAGAGGGCAGGTGCAGTGTGAGCTTCCCGAGGAGGGAAAAATGGGAGAAAAAGAGGTGGTAAACTCCTCACAACAAGTCATGCTCTCGTATCTCAGACCAGTTAGAAAAGAAAGACTTTGTGCCTTAGAACATGGACACAGCAAATGGGAGAGTAACTTAAAATGACTATTCTAAAGTTGTATGTGATCAGCTTTCGTTAGGTCACCTACCTAAACTTTAACTACCTCATAACTAAAGTTCACAAGAGTGTATACTTTTGTAATTGGGAACCACATTATTCACCAGGCAACTGAAAACCCTTCTTAATTGTTTCAGAATTGCAAATGCAAATCTAGTTATTCTCTCTCTTGATATTTCATTTTGATATGCAAGTAAAGAAAGTGACTCTATGTACATGAAACTATAGACTACCTGACTGATTAAAGTTACTGCAGTTTCCTATTTGACTTTAAGACAGTTACATTAGTCCCTTCCGCAGGTCAAAGTAAGCTGGTATGGTACGGTATGGCGTACCGGTAAGAGCCGGTACACAGCTGATCGTATCGGTGGCGGCCGGGAGCCCTGGGGCTCTGGCAGCAATTTAAAGGGCCCTTGAAATCACTGCCGGAGCCCTGGGGAAGCGCGAGTGGCGGCGGTGGCCAGGAGCCCTGGGCCCTCTAAATCAGGGGTCTCAAAGTCACGGCCCGTGGGCCATCTGTGGCCCGAGAACTGCAGCACACAGAAACTTTTTAAAAGTTCTTTCATTTGGCGCTCATGGCTGCCAGCCGAAGAGCGGGGGCAGGAGGGGAGCGGGCAGAAGAGATTCACATGCCCCTTTCCCCAACGTTGCTCCATCCTGCTGCTCCTAGGACCCTCCCAGGGCTTGCACTCGGCAAAGTGTCATTCATCTCTGGTAGCTCGGTTCCCTGCAAGCGGTTTTCTATCCCTGCTGTTGCCGGCGGAGCTGCAGAGAAGAGACCCAGGCAGCCACACTGCTGGCTCTCTCCTGCAGGCGCCAACCCCCCCCCCCCCCCCCCCACACACACACACACACCCCCGCAGCTCCCATTGGCTGGGGGAGAGGGATGGAGATACCATCACTAGTCGCCGGGCAGAGTCAGCCATGGAGGCAGCATCACTGGACAGAGTCAGCTGGGGCGGCATGAGACCAAGGGAGTGAGCGAAAAGGGCAGGAAACAGGCTGGGAGGTGGCGTGAACACCATCTTCAGTGACATTATTGGCCCACTGGGAAGATTTAAGGACTGGCACTGGCCCTAAGGTAAATTGAGTTGGAGACCCCTGCTTTAAATCACTGCCGGGCCATTCTGAAGGGCTGGCTGGGGAAGTCTGGCCTCAGCCCCGTCTCTTCTGCCCAAGGCCCCACCCCTTCTGGTTGAGCCCCTCCCCCCCAGGACCCTGGCCGCCCTGCGTACTGGTAAGTCTGTTCAGTTACTTTCACCCCTGGTCCCTTCGGATACCTTGATACTTGAATGGTTACTTCTCAGTGCAAGGCAAGAGCTGGAACAGCAACTAATCAGGACTAAACTGAATCAGAGCTTTGTGTGAGGGGCTTTACATAGACCTGGCACACACACACACTGCAAAGTTCTAGCAAATCATACTAAAATAAACTTAACAGCATCTATACATATTTATAATCATATATGCAAATAGTGCAGTATCATAACTTTCCACTGCAATGAATTTAATGCTCTGAAACTCTGTACACTGTACGTTTTATGCAACACAGCTGATTCAGTCTAAATAAAATGCTATATATCCAATTACCTCTGACACCACTAAGATTACAAATAGCAGCAAAAACTGAAGATTCCATCTCAATGTTTCGGACTCCAGCATCATAAGCTGCCTTCAAATACTGCAATTTCTCTTCTTCAGTATATAAGCAGATTGCACCATCCAGACGGGCTTGGCCTATAAAGCATATAAATATAGATTTTTTTTTTTTGTGTGTGTGTGCTGATGAAAGTACAGGGGGAGTTTCAGTCTCTGAGGGACACAAGATTTTTACAATTTCTAATATACCCTTCCTAATTTTTATCACTGCACTAAACTCAGTTTTTACTTAAAAGGCACTCTATAAATGTAATTTATTAGTTTATTATTTGAATTTAGGATCAAGGTAATTAGATATGAAAAGACCAACTAAATTATCAAATTCATAAACTGGAAAATGTAGGCTATAGTCCCTCAGATGAATTAAGTGTCAAATTTTAATGGTGACATTTCCTCTTGGCTAGTTTGATGTACTGATTATGTTTGAGTTTAACAGTCCCCTAAAAAAGCATCCAGCTCTGCTAATGCCTTTCTGATGCAGTGAGAGAAGGAATAATCTCAGCCCTTTTGATGCTCAGAAGACTTTTTAACATAAGGAGAAATCAAGAGGTGTTTTTTTTAAAATTGGACATTATTGGTGCCTATTTTTAGGAAAGAGTTAGCTTATTCCAGCTCTTTGGGGTTCAGCCCCAAAGAAATAGATTTTTTTTTTATTAAGCAGTGTTAGACTGCATACAGCCAAAATAAACTTTACAGTTCTTTAGTTGTCATATTTTTTGTTTTTGGAACTGAATTCCCAAAGCTGAGGTTCTCTGCCTGTTTGCAAGTTTTGTAGTCGATTTGGTAGCATCTGTAGGAAACCTGTTGGTGTGCTTTTAGGACCCACTGACTGGACCACGGACTCATTATCCTTCCTAACAGTGCCTGAAAAAAGCCACATATTGACATTGTTCTGCTTGAGATCTGCCTTAAGCACTGCTAGAACCATGGATTGTGTGTCCTCCAAGCAATGCTCTTCTTGCAGTATATCCAGCCACAACTAGAGGCAGAAGTGCCAGATATTTGGGGAGAAAGCTTGTTCTCACAAGATTTCCAGCTCGGTTTGTAGACCTGGGAGGTTCAGAGAAACATCTGAAATTGTGGGTGCTTATCTAAATCAATCCCAAATTTAAATCTGTGACGTTTGCCCATCCCAAATCTGGCACGATTGATGTAACATCCAATTATCCAATTAATGGTTAATTAAGGATGAATCAGCAACTTTTTCCAGGGCTGCTTATAGAGAATTTCTTCTAGACACATGAACAATTAAAAGAAAAAAACAACCAATAACTCTCGTTATCAAATTCCATAGGGCACTAATGGCGATTATAGCAACTCCACTAAATAAATACCCTGATAATTCAGTAATCAAAAGATATACAATTTATGAGCTGTCAGTCACTGTCAACTCTTTTTTTAGATAATCACTGGGAGCGGGGGAAACACCACAAAATTACACCCCAGTACAGCAAAGATTAACTGGACTACTCATCTCATTAAAGTTAAGCATATATTTAAGTGCTTTGCTGGATTGGGGCTTAAATCCCCTAACCCAGTTTGATTTGTATATGTTACTGCTTACTAATTTACTTCTATTGTTCTATTGCTAGCCTTACCTTCATAGAAATCCAAAGTGCACATAGTATTTCCAATGACTGTATTGAATTGATTTATCTCCTTACTGCACTGCATCAGTTCCTTGGCTAGTTGGTCATCTAGGTTGGTACTACGAATTATAGTCTTTCCTAGGATAACCTGTTCAAATTGAGGCTTGAAGGTAGCATCTACTGATTGACTAGTTATTACCACTGAGCCTGGCTCCAGACCTGTTGTAAAAAATATATATATATAGTGAGTTGTTCAGCCACTCTGCTGGTATGTAAACAAGGTACATTATAGCCCAATCCTGCTCCTACTGAAATCAATGAGAGAATATTAGGATCTATATGCATGTTTGTAGTTTATTCCAAATGCTTTAAAATAACTCTATAGAGAAGACACAATATACTGCCAATTAAAAAGGACAATACAAAGAGCCGTAAAGTAATCTTAATGGTCTGACAAATCCCAACTGTTAAGGGAATGTTTCACATAGGGCATGAATGATCTTTTCTCCAGCTTGCTGCAGATCTCTTCACTCAAGCACATTTTCCTGTCATTTATTATAAAATCATATAAATCAAAGAATCCTTTATCTGATGGGTAATTAGGTCTAAGGAAAAATAAGAGTACTGTGTATGACTGAAAACCTGAACATTCTCTCTCTCTTTTTCTCATGATCCAGAATTCTGAACTATGGCATGAAAGATAGAAGCTCATGTGTCCTATAGCAGAACTAAGATCCACTCACTGGGACTGTACCAGTATTTTAAAGATGATCTTAAAACTGTAAAAAGGGGTGTGTTTTTTAAAATATTGGACTTGCATTCTTTTTCATTTCTCTATGATGCCTTGAAGAAGCCTTGAAAGGAATTTCTTCTGCTTTTCTTAATATTAGAACAAACAGGAATGTCAATTTCGGTGCTCCCTTATTTGGATGGAGGACTTCTCTGGGATGTATAATGTTAGCTTTGACACCTTAATTTAAGAGAGATTATTGCTGAATCTTGAATCTAGTCCCCCTTTATTCAAAATGTTTAATTATTTGAATCAAATAGATATTAACAAAAACAAGCGAAAATTTTACACAGTCTGATTAAAACTCTCTTCCAGTTGTTCAGCTTTCACTGTCTTGACTCTTGTGTCAGCATTTCACTAGTTCTCCAGTTATCAGAGAAACATTCAGGCTAGACAGGAACAGAATTGTTAATGTAAAAACCAAGCAAAGTATTTAAAAAAAATCTTCAGGACTTCTTTGTACATCATAAAGAGGGAACAAATCCAATTTATTTTCCTTTGAAAGTCACCTTTTAACCTCTGCTTTATCTGTAAAGTGTGGGTGTTAATATTCACCTAATAAATATTCACCAAACTGTCATGAGCATTAATTAATTTGTAAAGCCCTCTGAAAATGAAGTAAGTGTTAGATATTATCATTATTATGACTTTGTTTTATAAACCTTTAACTACAGAGATGCTTTAATTTAAAGAAAAGAGAAATATCAAGGGGAAATACCTATTCCACCAGAGGTGCCAATGCGAATAATGGTTATGTTGGAACACTTGGAGTGATACAACAGCTTCATCAACTCATGTAACATGATTGCAATAGAGGGAATGCCCATACCATGCTGAAATGAAATCAGAAAGTTACACTGAACATTCATATACATTATTAACAGAAGAGTTGGGAACTAGAGCAGATCTCTTTAATGATCTGAACTATGAACTATGAAAAATACATGCAAAAGTATTCTTGTACAAACCTAACCTATCGGGCAGGGCAGAAGTTTATTGTGGTCAATGGAAAGACTCCTATTGACTTCAATGGACTTTGGATCAGGTCCATTGTTCCCTAATACCATGGGTTATGTTAATTTTATAAATATGTTAATTTTAAAAATGTTATATTCTCTATATTCTAAACGTGAGTCCCATTCTAATCGTTTACAGTTACATGCCCTCACAAAGCTTCTACACAGCCCAAGAGCAATGTTCAGACTAGTTCTTAATGACCTGAAACATTGGTGATTCCAGCTGAGCTAAAATATTACAAATTGCGGAGGCTGTGGTATAGTCACAAAGTTCACAAGGCTGAGTCTGCTCCAGCTTACACCATGATGTGACAATCCACGCCTTCGGGGAAAGAAAGCACAATAGGGCTACAGCTGTGGAGTTGATGCTATGGGCTAGGGGTAGGTTTTCAAAAGTGCTTTTGGGTATGTCCACGCTGCAATAAAAAACCCGTGGCACCCAGTCTCAGAACCCGGGTCAACTAATTCGAGCTCACGGGGCTTGGGCTGCAAGGCTAAAAATTGCAGTGTAGACGTTTGGTCTTGTTCTGGAGCCCAGGCTTGCAGTGGTCTCAGAGCCCATGCTCCAGTCTGAGTCCAAACATCTGCACGTCAATTTTTATCCCGCAGCTCGAGCCCCAAGTCCAAGTCCCCTGACCCAAGCCAGCTGCAACTATGCCATGAGTCTTTTATTGCAGTGGAGACATAATCTATGTGACTTAGCAGCACAAGTCCCATAGATTTTCATTGGTACTTGTACTCCTAAGCTACCTAAGTACCTTTTGAAAATCTAACCCTGGATCCTCAGCCATAGCTAAGAAACAGCCACCTTTGTTCCTTCCCCATCTGTACTGAGTGTAAGCAGTCTCTGTGTTGTCCCTAGCATAGGACCAATAGGGTAGAAAACATGCTACTCATGATTACAAAAGGTTGTTGTGGCAGCCAGGAATCACTGGGAATATGCCAGCCATGGCCCCTTTCTCCTTGGAAAGCCTTAATACCCTGGGATCCAGAAGGAGAGGTGGCATAAAGCCATTGCATCTATGTGACTCAGTGGTTACTCTTACATGGGGGGAATTATGAAGGAGCTGGCTGAGCCAGCTTTCCAGCTACTTTGCACCACTGAAGTAGACCTGAAAATTTGGATGTATATCCTCTAAAGAAATATTTAAAAGAAATATGCATTCATGTCCCATTTAAAATGTGCTTAAATTGTTGATTCAGTTGCAACTACTGCCTTGTATATTGAAAAAAACATTCTGTTCTTCTATTTCAGGAACACTCAAAACAAAAATCCAGGACTAGTCCTTGTCCTTTTCTTTAGAAGCACTGACAAATCTAATTCCTCCCCCGCTTCCCTTAATGCTTAATACTTACACTGACTGATAACACAGGTCCTACTTTGTACATCGCGTAACGGTCAGTTCCTTCACAGATGTTGGGATAGTCAGCACCAACGCTCCCAAGTCCGAGCTCTTCAGCTATGTAGGCGATAAAACCTTTCATCCGTGAAGGGCTTCCTCCAACACATACAAACTAGCATGGACAGAATTCAACAAACGACAACAATTGTGCAGCTGACTACATGATGCAGCATATTCAAGAACAGGGAAAGGTAAATATGATAATGCAAAAGGTTTAATCCGAATTATTCCCAACTACATTATTTTTATTATTACATTCCTTGTAGAGGTCTGTAAAGATAAATGTTTGAAAATAAGGCTTAAATGATCTCACAAGTTCTTTGCCATTGCCTGACAATGAAATTTCATTGGTATAGTACAAAATATAGAACTCGCACTACATACATTTAAAATGGCATTTTGTATTGGGGTGTGTTTTTAATAATAGCTACCAGAGGCAGACTGGATGTGAAGGAGAAATGATCTGAATATGCCAAGGGAGGGAGGGCTCCATAACTGTATTGGCATATAGAGAACTCGCTAGGAATGAACCCTGAGGCTGAGATAGCACTTCCCATTTGGAATATACTGGTATTGCCAAACCCAAGAGTTCAAACAGCAAGCCTAAATAAGACCATGAGATTTATTTCTGATACAGTATCCACATAGAACCCATTTCCAGGGCACACACATTGTAACACAGTGGTGGGCAACCTGCAGCCCACAGGCCGCACACGGCCCGTCAGGGTAATCCGCTGGCAGGCCACAAGACAGTGTTTACATTGACTGTTCACAGGTATGGCTGCCTGCAGCTCCCAGTGGCCGCAGTTCGCTGTTCTCGGCCAATGGGAGCTGCAAGGAGTGGTGTGGGCTGCAGGGATGTGCTGGCCACCACTTTCCACAGCTTCCATTGGCCGGGAACAGCAAACCGCGACCACTGGGAGATTCGGGTGGCCGTGCCTGCAGACGCTCAATGTAAATACTGTCTTGCGGCCTGCCAGCGGATTACCCTGATGGGCCACAGGTTGCCCACCACTGCTGTAATGATTTGACTAGTAGCATTGTGTCCTAAAAAAGAAAGGCAGTTAATGTATAAAATATACCTTAAAAATGGGGCTTGCAAATGAGGCACTTTCTGTCACCTCAGGAGTGTTATTTCAGGTATGGGGTTTTTGTTTGTAATGGATTGGGCAACTCCTCTCACTTCATATAAACCTTGTACAAGAAGCTACCACAGTAGATGCAAAAGCAGGACAAAATGCTGGTGTACTCAGTAAATGCAATATGGGCCAAAGCCTCCGTACCCACTCAGTCCTTACCCATATAAAACGTCAACTAGGCCGCTAAGACCTTGAACCTGCTCCCACTGAAATGAGTGAAAGTTTGGTATTGACTTCAGTGGGAACAGAGTAAGGCCTCACAAGGGAGATGTGCCTGACTGAAGTCTGAGTAGGGACTTCAGCATTTGGCCCAATAACCACAAAAGGAGACTGATAGCTCTGGTAAGTCTACAAGTTGTATGATCATACCAGCATTCCCACTGAGAAGGTCTTACCTTCTTTCCATGCATTTCTCAAACTGATTCATGCCACTGTCTTTAATGTCATCCTGGACCCAATTAAATTTTAGCGGGAGTTGCACAGTCTGCTGACATGTTTAAACTTCCAGAATGAAAGCAAGGTTCTTACCTTTACATCTCCAAATAAGGCAGGAAAATCATGGGTGCTAGTCCCAAGAGCAAAATGGTACAGGATATCATCTTTCATTTTCTCAAGGTGAGGATTGGAGAGATGAATTAAGTTGTTTCTGTCATGGAAATGGAAAATATATATTAAACTAAAAAAAAAACTATGTTAAAATAACATTATTAAGGTTGTAAAAGTCTAGTGCTCAAAAGTTAGAAAAAGCCAGAATTAAGGTTGCCTGTGCATCTTTAACTCAACCTCTTGTGTGTATGCATTATGAGACAGTTTTTAATGACATGATCACATGCTGTTTTTTTCCAATAGACCCCTGCCTCATTCAGTGTACAGGATGGACTGTGCTCATTAAATGAGCAGCTATTCAATTTTTTGTTTTATCCTCATTGTTCAATGTGTGGCCCCAGGCCTTATTTACTGCACAATATTCAAACCTTGTTTAAAACACAGAATTATTAATTTCCCCATGGGTTTTTCTATGGTCCTCATCACTATAGAAACTGAGTGCTTCATAAACATTCATTTATTTTCACAGCCTCTCTGTGAGATGAAAGGGTGGTATTATCCCCCATTTTACAGATGGGAACTGAGACACACTAGTTTTGGGTGCAAACTTTGGGACTCCTAGAATCTGAGGTTTTGTAGCATTATATAGCCCTTTATATGTTCAAAGCGTATCTCTCATTGACTTCAAGGTATCTGTAAGCACTCAGCACTTCTGCAAATCAGACCTCAGCCTCTCAAAATGGGCAGCCAGAAAATGAGGAACACACAATTAGAGACCATCTGTGAAAAAATTAGTTTAAGTGACTTGCCCGCCATAACACAGGAACTTTGTGGCATAGAAACCTTAACATGAGATCGTCCTGTCTTCCTGCAACTCCCTTTTTCATTCACCTTCCAACTTCTTCAGTCAATGAGGCAGGGGTCCTACAGACAACAGCCTCCTTAACTACACAACCCTGATTCATCCCCAGAGCAGGTCCAATCTGTGCACTGAATTAAATGAGGCAGAAGTCCTGTGGAAAAAACACTACATGATTATACAGTTAAAGACTGCATCATCATGCATAGGCTACTCCTGGGGGAATTCTGTGCCACTGTGCATGTGCAGAATTCATGTCTGGCACAGAATTTTTTTCTCTCACAGAAAATACATTCTGCCCAAGAAGTGCTGCTGTTCCACCTTTCACCCACCAATGGCCGCTGTGGCACCAGAACAGCCAGCATCATGAACACAGCCGGCTGTTCTGGTAACACAGTGGCCTCTGGTGAGCAAAAGGCAGAACTGCAGCACTGGGACAGAATGTATTTTCTGTGGGGAAAAAAATTCTGTGCATGCTCAGTGGCGTAGAATTCCCCCAGGAGTAGAAGTTCATCACAGCACCCTGCCTGCAGAGCCAGGTTAGGACAGACTGAATAGGGCACATGGGGTTGCTGGAGGGTCATAGACTGGGGGTTCAGAATGGTTAATGGGGGGAATTGGGATGCAGGCTCAGGAGCTAGTGGGGTGACAATGTTAAGCCAGGGGCTGAATGGGAGTGGGGCTTCAAGGCCACATGGGGATGGGGACTGCAGGGACACATCGGGATGGGGGAGGAGGCTGCAGAAGCCCATAGGGATGGGGGGTGTGGAGACGGGCAGATGTGCCTGATTGAATGGAAGACACTTGGGGTAGTCAGGGTCTGCATTGGGGAGGCTTCTCAACTCCCAAACAATCCTGTCCCACAAAAAACCTGTTCCATACTTCTCCCACCCACACCCAACAACTTTCCAGGTTCACTCCAGGCTCTTTCCCTCTCCCTCAGCTCCTCCATTACCCCTGACTCCCCCAAGCTTCTGGTGTATGCAGGAAATGCAGTTCTGTATTGTAATTTAAATGAATTACTCAACATTCTCTATTAATATGCCTAATAAGAAATTTATTTGTAAAAAAGTGTGTGTGTATGTATGTATGTGTATATACCAGAATCTTTTTTTTTTGTCTGTATTGTTACAGACATACTTGCTGACAGGTATTTTGAAATAAAATTACCAAAATTATTGAAACTGGAAAGAGTATATTATTTTGAGAAATAAAATATGCAGAATTTTAAAATACTGTGCTCAGAATTTTTAATTTTTAGTGCAGAATTCCCCAGGAGTAATACACACATGGGGGGCCAAATGAAGGGTTGTATAGACAATCTTAATATTGGCATTTTATAAACTTCTGAGTGCTTGACTTTACAACTTTACTAATGTTCTTTTAATGCAGGTTGTGAGTGTGTGTGTGTGTGCAATTTTCTGGTTTTTTTTTTTTTTTTTTAAAGCAAACTGAAAAAAACAAATTTCATCATGTGGTATCATACTGATATGATATGATATATATATGTGGTTCAGCAGCAGAGTGTAAGTCTTAGATTCCCCATGCAGACCCGAACCTCTTAAGAGTAATGATAGTAGTAGTAGTAGGTTGTCATCTTCTATGTGGACCAGCACGAGAGTGAGATGAGACACACATCTTTCCTGTGGGTTTCATAGATATTTGCTGACAGCAGAAAAATAGTGAGATTATGGAATCTAGAGTTCCATTCTACACTCTGAGAGGAGAATGGTTACAAACAGTGATGAGCTGCCAAAATCTTAACAACGGGTTCCCTCCTCACCGCACGAGGGGGTTGTTGCCCACCCCGCCCCCCAGGACTCCTGCCCCATCCAACCAGCCACATTCCTTGACGCCCCCCCCCCAAGACCCCGCCCCATCCACCCCTGTCACCTGACTGCCCCCAGAACTGGGCAGGAGGATCTCATGGGCCACCGTAGTGGGTACCCACCCCACCCCTAAGAGCCAGAGGGACCCGCCGGGGGGTGAGGTGGGGAGTCCTGACAGTGCTAATCTGGGGCAGCTCCCAGGAAGCATCCGGCAGGTCCCTCTGGCTCCTAGGGGTGGGGTAGTGTAGCTAGGCAGGGAGCAGGGGGAGCGGCTGCTCCCCCAACTGATCACGTCAAAAGTGGCGCTGGGGCTGGGGAGCAGTTCCCCCTACATGCCCCCCATCCTGGGTTACCTGCTGTGGTGCAGGCGGCCCTTGTTGCGCCCCCCCCTGCCCTAGCTCCCCTCTGCCTCCCTGGGCCTGAGTGTGAAGCCGTCGCCTGCTTCTCAGCCCGCCCTGGCTTCCTGCGCTAACAGCTGATTTGCGGAAAGCCGGGGGTGGGGGGCTGCGGGGGGGAGGCGGAGAAGCAGAGCGGGGCGGTGCTTTCAGGGGAGGAGGCGGAGCAGAGGTGAGCTGGGGCCAGGGGCGGGGAGCTGCTGGTGAGTTCTTTGCACCCACCAGATTTTCCCCAGGGGTGCTCCAGGGCTGGAACACCCTTGCGGAACAACCGGTTCTAAAAGGGCTTCTAAATTTAACAACCGGTTCTAGCGAACCGGTGCAAACTGGATCCAGCTCACCACTGGTTACAGACACTTCTCTCTGTCCCTCCACCCTAATCCAAGTCTGACTGCTCCAACCTGTTCCTCTCCCAGTCCTCCCCACCCCGGCCCTTTGTCCCAGTACCATTTTTCTTGGCCAGCCAATCCTAGTCTCCCCCTCGCAGCTTCCTGTCCAAATTCCAGTTCCACACCCCATTCCCAGTCCCAAGCTCCTCGTCCAGCCAGTTCCAGTTCCCCCGACCCTAACTTTTTGTCTCCAGTCTTTTTACCCAGCCAGTCCCAGTTCTGCTTTGCACTCCAGCTCCTCATCAGACCTATCTGGCATCTGTCCCCATTCCTCCACCCACTGGTTCCCAGTCCCAGTGTCCTTGTCCAGCCAGTTCCAGTCTCCTCCCTTCCCTTCAGACCTGCTTCCCCCATCCCACGCTGTTTCTGTCACTAGCTCCCACTCCAGTCTCTGAGAACAACCAGTCCCCATCTCCCCTCCAAGCTAGCTCCCAGTCACCTTGCCCAATAAATTCAAGCCTCCCCATCACATCCTCTTCCCCAGCTCCCAGTCTCCTGACCCAACCAGTCTCAGTCTTCACTTTCTCTCTCCTTCCCAGTCCTCCTGCACTGAACTCTGTGACAGTTTCTCTCTTTCCTCTAATTTTAGTACCAGTCTCACTAAGCTTCTTGATCCAATCTATTCCTTTCCTTCCCCTCCCAGTCCTCCCTGATTCTGCTCTCCAACCTGTCTGCATTCAAGTTATGTGGCTTCCTCCTTCACACTGCCTGGACACCTGATATGGGGGTTGCGAGTCATTGAAAGCACAAGAGACAGGCTCCCTGCTTTCAATTCAGGTGCCCAGCCATGTGGGGATGGTGCATGCCCAGTCCAGACACGTGTATGAGCTGTGAGGGGATGGAGCATGCTCAGTGAGCACAGAATCTTTGGAGAATTTAGCAGCAAAATTCTATAACATTCTACTGAGCATATATGAACTATGAAGTTTCAAAGACTTACAACTTTGTCAAATTTGAGCATATTTTTAGGGGACCAAAGGTATATCCCTGACACCCAGACCTCCTCATGCAAAATTTCAAGCCCCTGCTCCAAAGCATGGAGGTGCTAAAGCTTCTCAAAGAAGAAGTTGGAAGAATGTTAACATTGCAAACCAGTGTATTTTCCCTACCAGCCTGCATGGAAAATTTCAGCCCTAATGGCTGAAGTTTGAAAGTTATAAGGAGCTGAAAATGGGATCTTATAATGGCTCGTGTTAGGCAATCTTAGTCCTGGTCTACACTACGAGTTTAGGTTGAATTTAGTAGCGTTAGATCGATTTAACCCTGCACCCGTCGAAGCCATTTTTGTCAACTTAATGGGCTCTTAAAATCTATTTCTGTACTCCTCCCCGATGAGGGGATTAGCGCTGAAATTGACTTGGCCGGGTCAAATTTGGGGTAGTGTGGATGCAATTCGACAGTATTGGCCTCCGGGAGCTATCCCACAGTGCTCCATTGTGACTGCTATGGACAGCACTCTCAACTCGGATGCACTGGCCAGTGCATCCAGGAAAAGCCATGCAAACTTTTGGATTTCATTTCCTGTTTGGCCACCATGGCAAGCTGATCAGCACAGGTGACCGTGCAGATCTCATCAGCAGAGGTGATCATGGAGTCCCAGAATCACAAAAGAGCTCCAGCATGGACTG